TTATATGTATACTGTAGATATAAATATATTGAAGGAAAAATATCTTTTTCTGCAGTCCAAATTTTATTAAAATGAACGTTGGCTAGGATTACAATTTTTTTATTTCATGGGAATGTTTTGAATATGGTAGAAATAAATGGGATTTAAATATCATTCATGAACTGTGTTTGAGAGAAATGAATACATCATTCTGTACATTTTGCTTTGGACCCCTGGCTAATGATTGCTTTGAAACTTCTGAGTATTGCTAGATATATGTCACCGAAATAAAATGTTGGGCAAAGTTTTTAGAAAAGCGTCCATGAAAAGAAACAAAGGGTGCATGAACCAGGACTCTGTTGCACAGCAAGAGATATGAAGCCCTTCACCATGATTGCTCTTAAGTAGCTGCTGAATGATCCAAAATACACAAGTTCTTCCAAAAGCAAAATATTTAAGAGTAATTTGGGGGTAGGATGTTTATCAAAAGTAAAATTTAGACTGAGGGATTTGGGGAGCATGGATTGAAGGGTAACTGTATAAAAATAATTCGGTGGAGTCACAATGTGGTCATGTCTTTCTTGAGAGCTGACTGTAGAACAAAATGCCCATGTGAAATGAATTTCACTATTGTAACTTGTTTAACCACTACAACCACCAATACATATTTGTTTAAACACTTTAGACACCTAATATAAAACAGAATAAAGCCTGCAGGTAAGCAAGAACACTTTGACTTCCCCGTTTTTTTCCCTCCCCATACATGTGGTCACAAGAATGAGATGGTTTGAGTGAACGTTTATTCCTTGAGAGGTTCTTAAATTCACAGTGCATAAGAATTACCATATTGAATGGAAGGCAGATCTCCATGCATACTGAATGCATACTAAAAACTAAGGGCACTTTTGGTCTTTACAATTTTTGCCAAATGTGCTGACTTTAGAACCTAATACCCAATTCACGCACACTCCACTGTATTTGTAGCCCCTAGTTGGGGTTGCCAGATAAAATAAGGCATTCTCAGTTACATTGAAATTTCAGGCTGGGTGCAGTGGCTCACACCTGTAATCCCAGAGCTTTGGGAGCACAAGGTGGGGGAACTGCTTGAGGCCAGAAATTTGAGACCAGTCTGGGCAATATAGCAAGACCTCTGTCTCTACAAAAAAAATTTTTTTTTGAAACATTTCAAATGAAGAGCAAACAATTTTTTAATGAAAGTATGTCCCATGTATATTTGGGGCATAATTATTAAATGATTATGTGTTGTTTATTTTTATTTGCGAAATCTGTTTCCTTGGTTTATAAGGATTCAAGCAAAGACTCAAAGGGGGCCTGCACAATTTAGGTGTACTTTGCAATAAAATAGTTATAGGACGATAAGGAAAAGATGAACTATGCCTCTATAAAAATGCACAAAGGACATAAAGAGACAATTCACACACACACAAAAAGATATACAAATGATAAAAAGCATTTAAATACATATTTAGCCTTATTGTATTAAAAAAATGACATATTTTTTAAAAAGACCCAATAAAATACTTTTTTTAAGCTACCAGGGAAACAAAGTTAAAAAGCAATGATAATACCCAATTTATTTCATACCCTAATGATGAGTATTTAAAAGCCTTTCTGAAGGAGAATTTGGCATTATGTAGTTTTAAAAAGCCTTAAAAATGTGTAATCTGAAAGAACAATTATACTTCTCAGGATCTGTCCTAGGGAAATATTTAGAATATGTGAAAAAACTTAGCTGTGAGTATGCTTATCAATATAATGTTTTTAAAAGTAAAAAATAGAAAACAATCTAAATGTTCAACAGAGGAATTTATTAAATAAATTATGGTACTATTTCCATGCAATAGATGCTCTGCAGCCATTAAAAGTATGTTGAGGTGGGATGCAGTGGCTCACTCCTGTAATCCCAGCACTTTGGGAGGCTGAGGTGGAAGGATTGCTTAAGGCCAGGAGTTCGAGACCAGCCTGGGCAACATAGCAAGACCCCATCTCTACAAAAAATTAAAGAATTAACTGGGCATGGTGGCATGTGCCTGTAGTCCCAGTTACTTGGGAGGCTGAGGCAGGACGATTGCTTGAGCCCAGGAATTAGGGGTTATAGTGAGCTATGTTAGCGCCACTGCATTCTAGCCTGGGTGACAGGGCAAGACTCTGTCTCTCTCTAAAAAAAAAAAATGTATATTGACAAGAACCAATAAAATAGAAGGATTTTTAAGATAATGTTGCTAAATGAAAAAAATCACATTATAAAATAGCATACACATTCTGATTCCAGTTTTGATTTTTAAAAATGTATACACACTGTTAAGAGAATAAAAAGACAAACTGCTGTCTGGGAGAAAATATTTGTAAATTATCTAGGCAACAAAAGACTTGATTCCAATATATAAAGAACTCTCAAGGCCGGGCGCAGTGGCTCACGCCTTGTAATCCTAGCACTCTGGGAGGCCGAGGC